GTGACGCTAAGTGATAACGTTGACCTCTCAGGCCAAGAAAATACTTTACAAAGTAAATGATACCTATAAAATCATTAAACTCGCCTTTTTTTATTGATAAAAAATGTTTCTTCTTGTTCTAATTTGAAATCTTTGCCCACACAACACTGCCTAACGCTAAAAAGGCCATTGATTTAGTTTCGAAAGCATACTACTCGAAGCACCAAGCGATCTGCACATTCGCGTACTTATGATACCTAGACTGATGCATTCCGATGAGATCACAGATACCACATTTGTAAACGAATAGTTTTTTTTGTCATATAAAAGCGCGAGTAGCATATAACATTTACTAACGATATTCGTACATCAATACGTTTGAGCTTCCGGTCATGTAGTAACACAGCCAACCCAATAGTTAATAGTTAAATTTAATAGTTAAATTCTTAACTTCCGGTGGTCCAAACGCGACATAATACATAGATAGATAGATAGATTGGCTAAAAGGTAAATTTAAAGTCGGACCCGCCTTCGGCTAGTCCGACTAATTATGGCCATTTTTTGTCCTTTGCAACCTTATTTGGCACTGCTCGCTATCTTAGACCAAGCTATTCATTAAAGGTCACATAACTACACATCCATTGGTTACAACATCATCGGAGTTGACCGAGTTTTCATCGATGTCCGTCAGTTTAAAATCGGTGCTGCTCGACTTATGGGCATCGACTTTCGGTTTAATAACGGAAAAGTTTGGGAGAAACTTTGTAACTTTGTATAACTTTTTTTCGTCATTTTTTTCAACTATGTTTCCTTAAAAAACAAAGTCATTTATTTTTGTAAACTTTGTTCACATTTTCCTTTATCTTGCATGATTTGAATTTGAGGTCTGTCCCCGAAATTGTCAAAGCCGCGTAAATTTGTCTAAATGAGTGCACTTTGTCAGTCTGATGCCAGTCACATGACAGTACGTTTCACTAAAAAAGTCGCAGCCACGCCAAAGCTATATACCAAATTGCGGGTTTTATGACTTCGAATGTTTTTTTTAACCCTAAAACTAAAGAAACCTTCTTTCTGGGTATATTCGAGAAATGTGCTGAAACGCCATCACTGGCAAGAAACCAATACATTCCTCTGGCGTTAAATAGAAAGGATATTTGTTTTTTTGTTTACTATTTATTTTTTGAAATGACAGCCTTTTAGCAAGGTCTGGGACTTACTTATGTTCACTTAGTCCTCTGTCTCTTTGATTGAAAACATACTTCAATATACTGGAATGTTGTTGTCTCATATATATACTTTACTGATTTGAATTTATTTCTATGTAATTTGATATCAAAATAGAGAAATAAACATAAAAATTGAGGAAATATTAAAAGATAACTAGCTGCTCCATACATTTACTACCAATATGCAAATTACCCAACTATCACAACTGCAAAATGCATAGATCTAATCGGCTTACGCGTTGCCATCGTTACCACCCAATTCCCTAACAACGACTGTTTATTTCGAAAAACACTGGTTTTTAGCGGTAAAAAAGCTCTGAAGAGAGCTCCCGATTAATATCCTGTATTTGCCGCGAAGAAAGCATTGTAAATCGTCAATCTTGAATTGAAGCGTTGATATATTGCTGTTTGAAACAGACCTGTATTATGAATTAGATCTGACAGCTGCAGAGTTTATATTTCGCGCTAAAACAAAGATGCTAGAGTTCAGGAGGCGGCCGGAGCTTAGCGAATTGGCGGTAAAATTCAAAGCTCGTCAAACTGAGTTGAAGAGCTCATTAAGTATTCATTTTTGGTAAATATCTGTTCCCTGTTTTCGATGCTCTCGCGATAATATTTTTACACTTCATATACAAGCAAAAAAATGCGCAAACAACTCTTAGAACATTAAACTTACTTTTCCCGTTGGAATACCTGAGAATTGTTTTATACGAGGCAAGAAATTAGGTATGCACTGTGTTGGACTTGTAATTTTCTCCAAATTGCCCACAGTTTTTACTCGAAATTGCTGTTTTTCAAGTTCCTCGCGATAATATTTTACGGTCGCTATGTTGACTAAAAGCTACACAGAAATGTTTATTGATATCTCTTTTGTCATTACCCGTCAGAATAGTTAAACAAACTAAACGCTGGGTATGATAATTTTGCAATTTAAAAGTCACACTTGACGGTTTTTGCCTAATTTTACTGTAAAATTGCCGTCACGAATCAATGCGCGCATTCAAACTTCGCGCTAGTACCATGTAAGGTCCCGGATGGATGTCAGTCAATTCTGCCCGATTGAAATCCTGTGGGAAAAAAACTTTTGTTTCTAAGAATTCAACTGTGAAATGAAAATAAAACAAGCAGTGAAACTTAATCCTAAGGTGTTTTGAATTGGATGGAAAGTTTATACCAACGTGTTAGCCGATTAATTAGGTCTATTTCCTGCAAATATCGTATGTGTTAAAAGCGGCATCGATATATTATGTGGGATCCCTGTGTTTTGTTAGAGTTTCTTTCACCTAAACCTCTAAGCCATCTTGACGAAACACCTCGACCTCGTCTGGCTGAAAGTAGTACGATCCTGCAAGAAGGTTCTTTGCTTTAGTTGATCCAGATGTGTAGCCCTTAATCAGTACATAGCTATGTCCAAGGTTCGTATAGGAGTCTGTGTTGCTACCAGCATTATAACTAATATATATGTCATTGCCGCCTCCAAAGGTTGGTCCGTAGTCGCTATTTCCATAAATTGCATACTGTGATTTGAAAACTTTCATTTTAAATGGCTTCAAGTTATCTTTGTTTACGAATGAAAACAGGAACGAGTTGACTGATTTGCTGTAAGAATTTTTGGTATCTTTAAAAAAGAAAACAATTATAATACGTTATTGTGAGCATAAAAAAGCTGTACCAATGTGATGGATGTTCTGTGTTAACCCCCGAATATAGCAAAGATCAACAACTGGAATACTTACGCCAGCTGACGTCTGTATAGCCTCCAAATATGTATTTGTTCACTTTGATGATTGTAATAGTCGG